AACAGCTTATGTTTTATCATTAGCAACACACATTGTCAATTTTTCTTGACGTTGTAGACTCCTTTCATTCATTTGCAAGGCAGTATTTACCAAACTCACCTGATGAAGGTGAATAGCTGAATAATTTGCCTTTTAGTTGTTTTTCCAAATAAAAATGGTTTTTCATGAAAAACATGACTAATACAGTTTACAGAAGGCATCGCACAGGTGAGACAGACAGGACTTTAGTCATGGCAGCAGTGTGTTCTGCGTACTTCTCGTTTCGCCACGTGGAATGTTAAAAAGATGGAGGCTGAGACACATTATTTAGTAATTAAGAACTTTTTACTTTATTAAGAGCATTCTAGACTGAACATTTTCCCTCTTCTCTTCTTCCTCCTCCTTGGTCTTCGTTTTCTTCCTTCTTCATGAGAGTGCTTGGCACGAAAGAGTACAAGGGTGGGTAATTGCAGTTTGGTACTTCATTGTTTTGCGCACTGTTCATTTTCACCGTCAGTGAAGATGTGCACACAGTACAAAAGGCGAATGGCATCTCAGTATTTTTATGAAAATAATTTTTCTCCTGAATGCCTCTGAGAGGGTCCCGGAGACCGCTGGGGGTGGGGTGTGTGTGTGTGTGTGTGTGTGTGTGTGTGTGTGTGTGTGTGTCTGCACACCACACTGAGAAAACAGCTGGTACAAACGGCATAAATACCATTTTACGTAAACAGATCTATGCCACTAAGCTCCGTTGCCTCATTTATTTTCTTAGTTATAATTTATGAAATTTTGAATAATGTTAACAGATACCAGTTTGCTGCTTGTATTGGCTAATATAACGAATAGATCTTTCAGATGGAGCTTTTAAAAATTTGTCCATGTAAATTTTTGTTTAGAAGTTTACTCTTTGTCCTATTTTATTGCTCTCTCAGATTTTGAAAGTGTAACTTAGAATATTTGTTAACAGAAGTTACTGGATTACCAGGTACAGTTAGTCTCCAGCAATGGTAGCATATTAATATTATTCAGTATTTATGATGACAGTGAATTAGAAGTTTTCATGTTCTTGAATGCTCCACCTGGTTGAGAGCAAATGTGTTTGGAAACTAGATCTACTGCTTGATTTTGTTGTTCATCTGCGTAAATTTCACGGGTATGTGTAGTGTTGTGATTTATAGTAACAAATATGTATCCGTGGCACGGAGCTCCTAAATACCCTTGGAATTATCCAGCTGATAAGAGTGCTAAAGATATCTTGTTAGTGATAACCTGCCCCTTTCAGACACACCTGAGATCATGGTAATGCCATGACTTGTGTGAAGGTCTGAGAATGGGGGCTGGCTGCCTGATGACCAACCTCGATTAGGTTAGCGATTGGAACTTGCAGTCCCACCTATGGAGATGCGAGAGGGGCGGGGGGGGGGGGGAAGTGATTTAATCAACCGTGCCTATAAAATGAAGTCTCCATAAAAACCCCAACAGGAGTCATGGCGCTGGAGAGGGAGAGGTCATGGAGGCAATCTTTTCCCTCCCATGCAACTTGCCCTTGGCATCTCCTCCATCTGGCTGTTCCTGAGTTGTATCCTTTCATAAAAAATCAGTGATCTAGTCAGTAAAGGTTTTCCTGGGTTCTTTGAGTAGTGGCTCTAACCAATTCATAGAAACCAAGCAGGAGATCGTGAGAACTTCCGGTTTAGAGTTAATCAATCAGAAGCACAGGTGACAACTTGAACTTGTGACTGACATAGGGGGGTGGTGGGGGTGGGAGTAGTGGCGGTTTTGTGGGACCGTGTCCATAGCCTGTGGGATCTGATGTTGTCTCCAGGCAGATCGTGTCAGAATTGAATTAAACTGTAGGACTCTCGGCTTGTCTTGCAGAATTACTTGATGTGTGGGAAACCACATTTGGTGTTCTGTATAGTGAAGTGGTGTTTTATATACTGAAATACAGAGAGGAAGAGACACACAGGAAGAGTGTGTGTTTCTTTAATTGTGCATATGTGCATATTAATGAAAATTTTTGCAGGGGCCTGTTTCACTAGGTACAATTAAGACCATATTTGCTTTACTGACAACTCAAAAGAACTTTCTGTGACAAACACTTGCACTTCTGTGGTCTGCCACTAGATGTCATGAGAGCTACGGGAGCTGTCAGTTACCCAGGGCCAGTAGAAATTGAACATTGTAATAAGCTCGTAGACCTTCACATATTTCACTATTTCCACATGATCGATGCCAGCAGAACCTGATACTGTGTGATATATAGAAGCAAGGTACAACTGGAATAATGAAATTTCAAAAATAAGCCTTTTTAAAGGAGGGTTGTAATAGTTCTGTTGGGTATTGTAAATGCTTCAGGTGCACTTGATACCGCTGTTAGGTTCCTGGCGTTTGGGTCTCTCTCTTTTTTATGGAAAGATGGATTGAACTTCAATTTAAGAATAGTCTGTAATCCCTCTCAGGACATACTGTAACAGCTGGTATTTTTGTGTTGTAGTAAATCGATTCCATACAACAGTCAGTAATAATTATGGCTGGGTTCTGACAAATTCCAAAGTCTTTTCAATAAATTTAGCCAAAGAAAATAACATGATTACTAGAAAAATTTAGCTCAGTTTGAAAGTTATACCCAACAACTCTGCTTCGTTCCACAAAATAGTAAGCATTTTACTGGTTGGCATTTTATCAAACCATTTATTTTTTTTTTTATGAAGATACTTCTCTATGTTCTGAGAAGATAATTAGTTTGTAGCATATATTTCTTAGGTGATACAGCTTTGGAAACATTTAACTGCAAGTGTTCATTATGAAATAAAAAATGCAAAACGCTAAGGCTTTCGTAAGTGGCTTTATACGTCCAGCAGCAGTATCAACTCAGAAGGGTGTTTTGATGTGGGAACGTAAGGTTGTCTTAGTATTACTAGAATGTTTGATATGAGCAGGAGATCACTTATTATACAGTGTTTGCAATTTATAAAAGTGAAGCACCGTAAGTTCTCGAAGGTGTGAAGAAAATGGTAGTTTGCATGGTACAAACTATATTATACATATATTTCTACAGTTAAACAATCGGCACTATTTAAAATATGACTTCTGGTGTAAAGAGCTTAAGTTATCTCTGTAACACACACGCATGTGATAGCTGTCTACCCACATACATGTACATATTGCCCTAATGGGAGAAATGTGTGTGCATATGCTTTCCAAATTTCAACTGTTTCCTCCTTTTTTCTCAGCAAAACAGAAAAGCCTTACTGAATGCTTTCTTGAAATAATGTATGGTCTGTTTTTCACTTTGTATTCCAAGTAAGGAACACCTGTATGTAGCTGAATTTTACTCCTGATTGTTTAGAATTGTTTATGAAAGCAAAAGTAGAGGTACCTTTTAAAATTATTGGGGAAAACAGCCTCCTAGGCGAGCATTAGTGACACTGAAGTCTTTTTCTCTTATTTTTAGCTTAGTGATTTATATTTTCATCTGGCATTTACAATTAACTGCTCTCATAGTTTTAATTAATAGTCTTCTCTCTCTGGGTACGTCTGCATATTTTAACTTTGCCAACCTTCGTAAGACGAAACAAAATGCAGGCCACTCCAACAGATAGTCTGGTTCAAGAGAGTCTGGTGAATTTTCTCATACTAAAGTTAGCTTTGATAATTAAATAGCTAATTTAGAAGGTCTTAATAGAATTTTACAGTTTGGACTTTTTGAAGGGAAGTTTGGCAGGTTCATTTTTCCTTATTCTGTCATATGAATCAGCAATTTAAAGGCTTTACGAATTGAAGTGAGCCAGTTTTTTGAGTGTTTACAATATCTGCTTTTCTTGTTAATATATGTTAAAATATGCTTTCAAAGTACTTACTTTGCTTTATAGAGAACTGGAGAAAAGGCACCAAAAAATGGACCCAAACACATTCTGTGGGTCTTCTGATTTCTAAAAAGTGTAAATGTAGTGTATTTTCCGTAATTAGGCAGCCGTGGTCCAAATTTAAACCACATGGCCTTCTCCCGGGTGTCAGGCCAAGGTAAATTTTAATCTCGCTACTTTCTTTTATGTTTGCATTTTATAATCTCATTGCTTGAGCTAAACAACCCCAGCTATAACGGCCGGCATTTCTTGTTTGCTTGTTACGTGCCAGATGCTCTGTTGCGAGCCTTAGCGTATGTAATTATCAAACAGTCCTGAGGTGCTCTTCTCTCCATTCGTCTGTAAGGAAATTAGGGCACAGTAAGATTCAATAATTTGTCCAAGATCACAGACTTAGCAGAATGAAAGATCAGGACAAACTCTGGAGTCCCCACTCTTTAGCTACCATATGATAACGCTTTGCTAATTTTGCTAATTATTTTAGGATAAACCTCGGCGAAAACCGCTTTAGGAAAAAAATGAATATTTTTCAAAGGTGCATCAAAGCTTAGTTTTTACTAAAAGAATTTACTTTCGTGTGTTAGCTTAGATTGGTGGTTTTGTTGAGATTATTAACACTTCTGTGAATCTCTAACATCATCAATTCTCGTAGTTTTTCAGGGTGATTTCGCGGCTTTCAGGTAGAGAACTTTTCAGTTGTCCTATTAGGACGAGCTATTGAAAAAATTACAATTACTCAGAAGTTCTGCGTTAGAAAGATAGCGCGGAATTACGATAATAGAGGCAAAGGATTTTAGAATAGCATTGGTGTAAAAATCTTCTTTAAGGTCTCAGTCTGTGCATTCAGCACTCCAACTGTGAAAATCTTTAAGGAAGCCTTGATACATGCATGAGGAACTTCTGCGCTTTTAATTAGAAATAGCCCATCAAGGTCAAAAACTCTCGCACTTAATAATATTTGCATGTAGCAGAGACAAACTTTGGAAGAACCGATCTTTCCGGCAAGTGTGTTGGAATAAGAATTTTGAGTTAGTTGCTGACTGTCGCAGTTTAGTAATCTTCCCTATTATTATTTTTAAAGCGTTTCTTCTCCTTTTAGAAACGGCCTGCACGATACATCTCGGTCGACAGCGTGGCTGTAGGCCACTGAGCTGGAATTCCGTGTGGCTTTCTAAGCGGAGAGCGTTTGGTGTGCATCGTCTCGGCCTGCAGCTCACATCATGCCCGCGTTGTCCACAGGATCTGGTAGCGACACAGGTATGGGAACCCAAGAGGGGCGGGTTTCCTTCCCTCCGGACTTAGATTTTCTTGTTCACAGCGAAAACCGGCATGGCTTTAAGTAGGTGCAAACAGATAATGTCTGTTTTTCTGTAACCTGCATGAGGGGTACAAAACCCACTTAGATGCCTCCTTCCAAGGTAAAAGCTGTCAAAGGATGTTGGGCGACCATTGCTTTCTCCAGGTAGTGATGACTTGTGCTGATGCTCTTCTGTGGTCTTCCCCTTTGTGAACATGCCATCCATTTAAATTACTTTAAAAAATAAATGAGTATTTTAAGCATGTAATAGAGTACGGCAGATCCTGTGATACTGCCGTTCCTCCTCACTCAGGTTCGATACCAGATAGGAACTTTCTGCCATACTTGCTTCAGACCTTGCACTGTTTTCCTTTAAGAAATAAAATATTGTCCCTACCCCATTCTTGCGTTTTCTTTCTTCCTGTCACTAGAGGGGGTAGGGGCGGGGGAAGCAACTGTCCTGAAGTTGATATGTGTCATTAGGGATTCAGTTAAAACCAGCATATTTCACCTTACTGTCAGTTGTAAGATTTCGTGATACTTAGAGTGAAGAGTTCCAAGAAAGAGAAAAAACACACGTATGTGGAAAATCCTCCTCCTTCCGACCTGTTTCAGGAGGTGGGTGAAGGAGGTCAGTACCCCTTTGAGGTCCTGTTGTGAGGTTCCCCAGAATCAGCACTCTTTGTTTTTAATTAAAACAAATTCTTTAGAGTACGGTTGACACACTATGTTACATTAGTTTCAGGCGTCCAACAGAGCGATTCAGCTTCTCTATGTGTTAGGCTACACTCGCTCCCTACAGGTGTAGTCACCGTCTGTCAGCCTATAGCGCTGTTACAGTACCATTGACTGTATTCCTTATGCTCTTTTATTCCTGTGATGTATTCATTCCGTAACTAGAAGCTTGTGTCTCCACTACCGTTCCTCCATTTTGCCCATCCTCCCCCCACCTCCCCCCCCCGCCCCCCACAACCATCAGTTCTGTGTATTTATAGGTCTGAGAATCAGCACTTGTTAAAAATGTAGATCCATAAACCCTTCCCAGATTTTTTTTTTTTTTGAGAGAGAGAGAGAGGGAGGGAGTGTGGGAGAGGGGCAGAGGGAGAGGGAGAGAGTATTTTAAGCAGGCTCCACGGCCAGTGTAGAGCCTGAGGTGGGGCTCAATCCCAAGACCCTGGGATCATGACCTGAGCCGAAATGAAGAGTCGGAGGCTTAATGGACTGAGCCACCCAGGTGCCCCTCCAGAACTATTAAAACAGAATGTGAGTGGGGTGGGGGAGCTGTGCCTTGTACTTTTAAGACCCCGCAAAAGAAATTGCATGGTGTGTGACTAAGGGTAGTGTCCTGTGCGTTGCACTGACCATACTGAGTTTGGTTCCGTCACTGCCATCTGTAAGCAGCTGAGCTAGTGGCCTCAGTGTGGGCAGTTCCTGGTACCATAATTTTAACAAAGCTGAATCACAGATTTGGAAATCTCATTCTTGCTGTTTCAAGCATATCCATCCTTATGTTTTGGCAAGTTTTGTCTCATCTTTATCCATCAGTAATGATTTTTTTCCACTGTAATTTACACTGAGGATTAGTTTTTCTGAGGAAGTAACTTTGATTTTTAAATAACTGAAAATCTTTTTTTTTTTTTTTTTGAAGGCATTAACTTGGAAGGCAGTTTCTTTGGGAAAAAAAATTTTTTTTCTTCATTTTAGTTTTTATATAGTCCCACATTGTGTTCTACTATATAAAATGAATGATTTAACTTTCCATAGTGGTTTGGGAAATCATAGATAAAATTTATTTGAGCCATAAATTTACTACAGTTATGTAATGAATAAGTTTTATGCCCTACTCTTCGCCAAAAATGCCTTAGTTTAATTGAATGCAAAATACTGTTGCTTACATCTGTCTCAAGGAATGATTAAAACGGAGTATTTATAGTTTATGGAGCAGTTGAAGGGTCAGCCATGAAAATAGCAGAGGCTATTCAGAATTTAAAAAGGACTTTTCCACATGTAGCAGGCTCCCTTGGTGCCGATTTCAAGTGCCTGTATGACTCACACCTGGCTTTGTGCTAGTTTTTTATTTTTTTTAATGTTTGTTTATTTCTCAGAGAGAGAGAGAGAGAGACAGAGAGACAGAGAGAATGGGGGAGACACAGAATCTGAAGCAGGCTCCAGGCTCTGAGCTGTCAGCACAGAGCCCAGTGCGGGGCTCGAACTCACAAACCATGAGATCATGACCTGAGCTGAATTCGGAAGCTTAACCAGCTGAGCCACCCAGGCGCCCCTCTTTGTGGTAGTTTTTGACCTATGTGCCCAATAAGGTTTGAGTCCAGCCGAGAAGATGTGCCTGTTCAAGAGTCACTGGGTTCAGGAGAGCTCCAAAGTGTGGTGCATGCACCAGATGTGTATGGTGCCCCTGTAGTCCCTGGCAGACAGATGCGGTTTACCAGTCAGGGGTCACTTTTACCCTCAGCAGGGTTGCTTAGCAACGTCCTCTCCCGGGTACAGAGCTAGAGAGCATAGCCGAAGGGCAGGAGCTCGGGCCACAGGGGAGCGGCTCCCAGTGGCCCCCAATGCACATAACCCTCACGTGGGAATATACTTTCAGTGTACAACCTCTACCGCTTCTCCTTCTCCCCCTTTCTACTTCTTTTACCAAGGAAAAAATGTAAATTACACAGGTAGTACAAAGTGTCAAAGATGCATAGATAAAAAAAGGAAAGGAATTCTTAATCACCCACCCTTTCGCTGCCCATATCCTTTCCTTTCTCCATCTGATGAGTGTACTTCAGGAATGTTCTAAGTACATTAAACACTACATGGATGTACATAAGTATATTGTTTTATGTCTTTGTTCTTTACTTTGTAATCAGATTCTGTCCTGCTCTGTGGATTGTTCTAGAACTTTCGTTCCTATACCAAGTAATGTCTCAGAGCTGGATTTCCACAGGGTATGTGTTAGTGTGTAACCTATCTATACATACATTTGTATATCTACCTCATTCTTTTAAACTAAGGCATACTTTCCTGTAGTATCACAGTATAGTGAACCATACTTCTGTTGATGCAAACCCTGGTTTTACTCCTTTTATAACATTTTGGGGGAAAAGATGTGAATATTTAGTGGATGTTATCAAATTGTCCTCCAGGGTGATTCTATGGACAGTACGTTTGAGATTCTTTCCCCCATATTCTTGTTGAGCTTTGATATCATAAGCCTTTGTAATTTTTGCCCATTTGATGGGCAAAACATGGAATCTTAAGTGTTGAATGTGTATTACTCCTGATATTGAGCAGATTTCCATTCGTTTAATGGCCATTTATTCTTCTGATTTAATTCACATCCTTTCCCATTTTTCTATTGGTTATCATTTTTTTTCATGTTTTTATGGAGTTTCTTTTACTTGTATTTTGTATATTATGGGGCATTTTAGGTTGAATACCATTTTTTCTGGTCCGCCATTTGTCCTTTTTTTCTTAAATAGTATTTTATTGAAGTTGAAAACTTTTATGTGGACAAACCCATCTTTTCTCCGTGGTTCATGCTTTTTTTCCTTGTGCTTGCCTACCTACTACAAGGTCACGAAGATATTCTCTAAGATTTTCTTCCAATAATGAAAACCGTTTGTATACATTTGGAATATTAGTCCAACTATAATTTATATGTAGAGTGAAGTAGTAATTATTTAATTTTATTTCCCACATGAACAGCCAGTAGTCCCCAAATAACTTACTCAGTAGTCCATTCTTTTGACCTAAATTTGTACTGTCCCCTCCATAGTACACCAGTATCACATATTTTCTGGGTTTTCTTTCTTTTTTTTTTTTTTTTTTTTAATTTCAACGGACTTTATTGTTTTTTTTAGAGCAACTTGAGATTTACGGAAAGATTATGAAGATAATACTGAGAGTTCCAGTATACCTTATATCTTGTTTCCCTGATCAACATCTTACCTTAGTTTGGCACATTCATTTCAATTAGTGAATCGATATTGACACACTATACTTTATTCAGATTTTCTTTGTTTTCCCTAATGGTTTTGTTTTTGTTTTTGGCTCCAGGATCTCCCATTACATTTAATTGTCATTGTCTCATTAGGCTCTTCTTGGCTACGAAGGTTTCTGACTTTTTTTTTTTTTTTGGTCTTTGGTGACCTTACAGTGAAGAGTTCTAGTCAGGTATGCTCTAGAAGTCCCCTCTGTTGGAATTTGTGTGATTTAAGGGCCATTTTTATCATATCAAGGATACATACTCTCAACTTGATTTATGACTGTTGATGTTGGTTAGCTGGCTGAAATAGGATTTGTCAGATTTCTTCACTGTAACGTTATTCTTTTCCCAATTCTTCCACACTGTACTGTACTGTACAGCCTACACTCTGTGTTACATTCTTCCTCCTTTAGGCTAAAGTATCTATGTAAGATGTTTGGAATATTTTGTCTCTTTTCTCCTATTTATTCAGATCAGTGTGGACTCATGGATATTTACTGATATTTTGGGTTATAATTCAATACTACCTTTATTTTGTTCAAGTTGTTCAGCTTTGGCCACTGGGAGCTGTTTCATTTGGCCCCTCTGATATTCTCCTGTCAATGTGGGCTTGCTTGTTTGTTTGCTTTTGGCACTACTAGGTGTCCCAGGCTCATTTTACAGTGCTCCAGTCCTGGAATCAGCTACTTCTCTAGGAAGACCCTAGTGCCTTTTACTGGGGAATGGGATTAGAACCCAGGATCTGGGTGATGCTTTGCATATGGCTACTGGGTCCTCTCATGTGATAGAGCAGAGAAATACATGTATGCACACTAGCCCAGGTCGAGACACACATTATAAACATTTTTGTGTACAATCAGCTGTAACTATAATAAGCTAAACATGAATTCTTATAGACGTTGCCAACTGTAATTAGCAAATGGATCATTTTAGCCTCCTTCCCTTGCTTATTTGTAAATTCCCACCCCCAAC